ACAAGTGTGTGGAGATCACAGCAGAAACCATATTTTCAACCGTCTCTAAATGTCATTAGGAATGCACAAAAGCATCATCGTGGGGTGAAGACGCTGACGAAAGGCAGTCTCTTGGACACACTCAGTAACACCTCAGGAAACTAACGGCTCAGCCCTCACCTCACAAGTACGAATCATTGCATCGTAAATGATCTGCATCGGTGTCTGTTTGACAACGGAATGAGTAGATCGACCATCACATATGCTTGACAATCTAAGCCAATGTGGGTTGTTGATGAAACCTTCAATGTAGATTTAAAAATGTTTGTTTGCACCGTTAAGCGGTCTCCAAAAGTCCCATAAAATGTGTATTGAACTCGCTGTGAGTAAATTTTTAAAGAAATCATGGAACTTCAATGATACGAACAAAAATCTTCCCTGTTGAAGTCCAAAGATGCCTGTCACGTGAACAATAAATAAAACTACTCACTCGAAAAGCTGGTTAATTCGTTCTTGTTCATCTCCAGATGGTCGTTTTGATTTCACCATATTTTCACACCCATCATAATTCTTCTCTAATGTCTGTTCGAAAGAAACCAGAGGAATAGGTTTTGATATATAAGGGCGTGCACAAGGCTTCACGAATGCACTATGACGAAGGTATGTTGGCCAAACCTGGAAGCAAAAGTAGTATACAATGTATAAAACTGTATACAAGTGACTTCAAAGTCAGCAAAAGAAGACTGAAAAATAACGGTTACTATTTAAGTGGCTGGTAACTAATGTAAGTGTACAGAGAGACAGAATGAACGCAGAACCTCGCATAGAAATGCACAGCTTCATATTACCAAACTTCACAGTAATATGCAAAGAGTAAGTGAATAGAAGAAGATACACATTACAGTAAATAAAGATTTATGGGGACCACGGAATATATGAAAATAAAGTTTGGTGAAAAAGTTCAAGCATTGGATGACGTAAATGAGTGAATACACCTGTGCCATTGTGACAGGTTTTAAATGATTTCACGAGGAGTCTCTAATCACTGAATTCTACGACCTTTTTATGGAAGTTTGTATATCCACCACTTGGTATAGCAAACACTATTCATACTTCTCATGTCATTTAAATTTGATTGTTCATAGTGCACCTCTTGCTTGTGCAAACAATGACTATATATCAGTAGCTGGTGCATCAACTTTTTACAGTGTGCGACACCCCAGGACTCTTTCCAAGCAAATAACGCAATACGGAGTTGCTACCGAACTCAATAAATGTCATTTCGAAAAGTGGACTGTTCACTTTCACATTGTTTATTCGCCTTAAGCCCATACTTTCGAAAATGACGGCTGTCACCTGACTCATTTCGAAACACAGTTTCTTGGCCTCACAAATTACTATTGTTGATGAACAATAAACTGTACACACAGATTAATGAATTATCAGTTCAGAGAAGTATATATGGCTAGAGCATCTATGATTGTATTAAAGAAGTCGAAGAAATCTTTTAGCTCTGAAAATATCTTCATGTGTAGTGATATCAGAGCGCGTCAGTCGATCTTGGGTGAAGCTGGTTATGTGAACCCGCAACAGTTCTCCGATAGCTAATGACACCCCACATAGTTATCGTCGAAATGACAGTATATATAAATCGAAATGAAGTACGTAATCAGCAATGAAGGTTTCCAGTTACATGACTAGTTGAGGTTTCTATTCATAATACATATTGCCCACAACCTTCTCAGCATATGTGCACGTTAAGCGCGACTAACACTCCTCAGCAGAAATTTTGTATATAGCATTCGTCCAGTAGTTCAGATTATAAATTCTCTTCATTCTGGGAAGTATAGACAATGTGGCTGATGTTCCGTCTTTTATATGTATGAATATTATTTCAAATATATGTCAGCTTCCACAAAATCAGGAACGTTTAACAAAAAGGATGAAGAGTTACATGAACTATTATATTCTAATCCACTACCACTCCAGCCCACAAGAGTTCCTTTGAAAGACTCATTTTAAGTGTGTGTGTGTGTGTGTGTTGTAGATGTATTCACTCTTTGGTGTATTCTAAAGCCTGAACATTTTCATTGACCATAATGATCGGATTCTTTCCCGTGTGATATGCTTTAGTCTACTTCGATATTACCCTTTTTCTATCTTTTTATTCTTTGCATTCTGTCGCTATGAAGTGTGGGAACTTGAACCGATGCACTTCTGTGCGAGATTTTTGCGTTGATTTTGTATATCTGCTTATCTTAAACATGCACAGCATACTAAAAAATAAGAACTTATGATGTTATTAAGTTACGAGGTTTCTTTAAAATCCACATGCAGGGAATTCTGTGATCAACAAAAGTAAATTAATTCCTTTCTTAGAAATATTTACATACCTTGACGAAATGTTTGAAGTTAATTTTGTTGTCTTGTTTGCCAGTTACGATGGGTTTCACAGCTTGCATTTTGACGGTCATCGGAGCAACTATTGCCAACCGAGTATTGTCTGACTGGTTGAAAGTGAAAATTAAAAATGAATCTGGATTTGATAAGTAGACGTTCTAATTTTTAAAACTCCAACACTATTGAAAGACATGAAATAGTGGTATCGCGAAGTATTATTATGCTACAAGTAAATCACAACTCCATCTAGTTTATTTTTAAACATGTTTGGAAGTACTGAGACCTTAAATCACTATACATTGAAAAATAATTGATTCTATCTGGAAGTTTGTGGAGTTTTATTAACTGATTTTGGGTTACAATTCATTATGAACTAACATCAGTGTGAGGAACATTGGAAACCTAGGTGCACTGGACAGCTGTTTCGCCCTATTATCGGACTCCTCAGCAGTGCGCGCCCATGAGCCTGCCAGGGATCAAAGCAGGAAATGTGGACCAGTGGCTCAATGGTAACGTGCTGGCAACGAGACCCGAAGGTCCTGGGTTCGACCCCCGGCGGGGTCATGGGTGCGCACTACTGAGTCGTATGCTAGGACGAAACAGCTGTACACCGCTCCCAGGCTTCCAACGTCCCGCCAACTGATGTAAGTGCACGATGAATTCCAACCTATATTCAAATAACTGATTGCTCATTTTCTTAACGATCGAAGTATTGTAAAAATCAATATTCACAAATCCCTTTGTAGTAAGTTTACTAAACATTAAAGTTTAATTATGAAAAAGAAAGGATTTCTAACGAAATTTTTTAGTTGTAATCTTATGAATTGTGTTCTTGACCGTTGGGGTTTGTTGGCAGTGTTTTGTATTTCAGACGTTTGTGTTGATGTTGTCGTCTAGAATGATAATGAAAGCTTCATAATTAAACCATCTACCTCAGAGAACACAACACTATCAAAATTATCTTCCAGAGCTGCAAATATTCTTCATCTCCAGTGTTTTGTACACTCGTTTCTGGTATCTAAATCAGCATCATAGAAGGACAGGAATTAAAGTTATTTACGACGTGGAACAGTTTTTCTGCTTGTAGTTTTCCAAACTTCGGCCCAGCTGGAAACAACAAATTCTACATTGGTTTGAATCCATTAACTTTTCCGAGCTTGAAGACAGAAAAACTAAAGTGAAACCCTACAAAATCTCCATTAGTTCAAGTTACCGTACTTAAATCAAAGACTTTATAATTAAAAATGTTAATAAAGTTTGTATAAATGCTAGCAACGTAAATGCACAAACATACGAAACATTTTTAGACCAACTAACGAAGAAATCTTTTCTGCAGAGTATTGAAAAGTTGTCCCCATTATATGAAAATAAAATACTGACTTTTCAGGTTAGAAAGTGACTTTCATGGACAAGATAAGTGTTCGGAAATTTTTTTAAGACTGTACTTGATAATCTTAAACACGATCGAGATCAATATTACTAGGCATCAACTTCGGTCATTTCATTACGTGGTGTATATTATTTACATGGTAAGTACTTTGAGTAAGCCTTTCGGAAGCAAGACGATACTAGTTTTCCATACTGTTAAAGAAATTTTATACGTTATTCAAACAACACTAAAACTAACTATCAAACTGTTAATAATAATAAACTAGTTCATCCTTGCCAGTTTTCACGAAATCAGAGGTGGAATAAAATTGACAAAAAAGACCTTGACATGATGATGATAAAGTGTGCAGAAACTACAGACTGCAAACGTTAAATCATTTATGGTCTTTTTATTTTAAAAACTACGCTAGTCAGATTCGTTTCATGACTGACTCTAAAGGCCATCCGATCAACAACTAAAATAACCAATCAAACCTCTCTCTGTTAATGATGGATCGTGGCTAGCAGCGGAATTCAGGATACGCATTTCATCCTATTTGGGACACGTCAACTGGATGTACCTGCTTTCCAGTGAGTGGTGTTGTTCCCACCGGGAATCCAACTCGGGAGCGATCGCTTCAAACGCCAGAGCGTTATCCACTACACCACCGAGCCACAATAGCCACTTCTTGTGCGACGGGTATAGTTTTTAGTATAAGGGTTTTTTACATGATACCGTCGTTGATTGGACCGAATTGATCGGTCTCTATTAGCATACGGGCTCCTGTGCGGATGCCTCGATATTGCCAGCAATCTAATTATGTCAATGATGGATCGTGGCTAGCTGACGAGTCCCAAATAGGACGAAACGCGCATCCTGGATTCCGCTGCTAGCCACGATCCATCATTGACATAATTAGATTGCTGGCAATATCGAGGCATCCGCACAGGAGCCCGTATGCTAATAGAGACCGATCAATTCGTTCCAATCAACGACGGTATCATATAAAAGCCCTTACACTAAAAACCTTCCTATTTCGGCTAGACATCTGTTCTTTCCTAAAATAAAAAAAACCTAACTGGCTATTTCAACAGCTGTCAGAGTAGCTTTTAAAGCCAATCTATTTTTACCGTAGTTGACGCAAGAACGATGTGTACTTTAGTCAACATCTCGGTCACTTTAGATGACAATACTAAAGAATATATGGAAGTTACTTGTAAAAGCTTTTATTTTCCTGTTCTTAAATTTTTTTAACTTTAATTATAGCATGATTCATATCAACGTCCATTTTAGGCTGGCATTTAATAATGGACAACTGAAACGTTGTCACAATTCATGTAGTGCTTTGATTTACTGAACATCAGCTCTGTAAAAGGAGAATTCAGAAAGACATGTGAAGCTGTTTTGATGATTTTTTGGAGTTCCAAGTACAGAAGGATCTTCCTCGTAACCACATACCGACTACTATTCGAAAATTAGTACTAAAAATGAAACAATAAAACTAAATTTTAGATAGAAGACGATAGAATTAGTAAATACACGACAGCAGGGTGTTAAACATTTGGAGAAACGCTGCATTACTTAATCTGATTGGTCTCAGAGGTGTTCACAAACGAATCATCATTACGTCGCCAACTAATAACAAGAATCTGCACTCATCTTCATTGAGCCACGTCACTCATAGGCGCTAAAACTGAACAATCTGTTTCTAGGTACAACCTCCTTCACAGCATCAGGTGAACTGATATTCGACCAATAGTCACGGTTTTCCAAAGCTGTAGGGGGGGGTTGTAGGAGTGATTCACCGTGATGCGGCAAACAATGGTCTTCTGGTAATTTTTATACGGAGCTAATGTGAGGCATTTAAGTTGCATTTCAAATACAAAAGCAGTTTCCTTTCTCCTCGATGGCTGATTTCTGATAAACGGTTATTTGATCAAGGTATTTCTCTGAGCTGAGAGAACACAATACAACCAAGACCATCCACCTGAGCCATAAATATTCTCCATGATTTAGGTATTTATCAAAGTACTCCGCGGTATCCATTTCTGAAAATACACACCTCAGAAAGTGAAGTTCCTTCAATATTTAGACGTGTTAATTTTCTGGATAGACAATGTACAAAATTCTCATTTCCTGCTGATAAGAACATAACAGTGGGAATTGATCACTTGTTCGATTCAGTAGCAAAACATAAGCCCCATTCTACCCCACCTTACTGTAAACATCTTCCAGAAGATGACTCTTCACATCTCACGACAATGCTGACTACCAAATTAGATACCTAAACAGAACTAACACTTAGGATACTGACTATTTATATCAGCCATGAGCCATATATGTGAACTTCGATAACACGGTTCATGAGGTGATATAAGTCGAAGGATGTATATTTTGTGCGACATGATAAATATGAATTACTTTTAGTTTATCTCTTCCAACGTCCTTTTACACCTGATTCCAAATCTTCATCACTTCAGGCAAGTTACTGAGAAAAATAATAGCTGGTACCGATGCATTACTGTGAGTGGTTCAGTGTCATTAAGTTACACTAATACGTTACGATACAAGAACATACTATATTTTACAAAGGTAACCACTTGAGAAATGAAATTTTCAAAAAGCTTACTGGATCAGCACCATCATTTGCACGTTTCCGAAGCCAACCTTCTGGCACCAATCTTTCACCAGTTGATGGTAATAAAGGATTACCATTCACTTTAGTATGGCTCATATCACACGAATTCGGTTCTGTGGGGACAGCTAAAGTAGAGTCCTTATTTAATATGGATAAGTCATTTTGAGAGAGATTTGATTCGATATGATCGAAACCATCAGCAACCGGAGACGAGAAAGGCTGCACTGCACTGTCTTTGTCCTTCTCTTTTGACTCTGATAGCGCACTTTTTTTCATTGCTAACTGAAGGAGTGAAGGCATACTGTTTAATTTGCTCAACAAATCCTCTTCAGAATACACTGAGGGCTGATATTCTGAAACAGGTCCTAGTAAAAAGTGATGAAAACAATCATATAAAACACAAGTGGATACAAATTCACATAAAGGTATATCACACTTGAAATATGAAAGATTTGTCATCAATCTATATAACAAATTGGTTTTCAAACTCATGATACAATGTAGTTACATAAATCTAGTTACCGTCTACTCCATCGTGCAAGGACTTAGACTGGAAACAAGTTAAAAGGGGGTGGAACTAAAGCGTGGCATCAACCTGTGAAGGCTATAACTGTTGGTCTGAGTCGTGTAGGGAAATGTAGACTTCTCAATTAGGTTCCGCGTGAAAACCAAAATCAGTAGTTGGCGACTCTAGGTGATTTCGCTCAGAAACTATCTCAGCAATCCAGATACATCTATACGTTATCGTCAGCTTAATCGTTAGACTGAATTTCGTTATTGCTTTTTCGTCTGCTGTTTTTGATACTTTTGATTACTTTCCTACTTAATTCCTTATCTTCTATTTTGGTGCCTTTTACCGTGACGTACTGGTGTGAAGTGTGGTGAAGTGGAACGACAAGCAATGATGCCAGGTCCCATTTCGATAACTGGGCAGGTCTCAATCATGATGCTTGTCACGAAATACCGGTGAGCTGAATACTGCATTAGCAAAATAGGGGTAGTTAGAATATCTGACCATATCAAGACATAAACAGGCATTCTGTTTTTACAGTCAGCCTTCTGAGGAGCTTCACTTCATCTGCTCAAGCACTCAAGTTTCAACCGATGGGTAGTGAGTTAGAACACTTCGCACACTGAAATTCAGAAACACAGGTAGTAAAGAATGAAATATGACGTAATTCTCCTGGTTTGTACCTACGAATAATCAATGAAAAGCTGTCATTTAGAATCAAATGCAACAAGCTAGAAAAAATACAGAATTCAACTGCTCCCTACAAGTGGCAATCTTCGTGAATATACTTTAGTTCGAAAGAAAAAGCAACTGTAATGAAATAAAGAATTACCAAAAAGTGAAGTATTCGTAGGTTTCTTTGGCAATGTTTCACACTTGGAAGGTTCTAGGTTCTCGAGATCCATTGACGAAATTTGATGACGATAGCTGAGAGCCTGATGGGAATCAGGCTCTGAATCAAGAACCAGTAGGCCTCCCAGAGTCTTACGCTCAGGCTGTTGTTAGCAGAAAAATGAATTCAAATTACACTGAAGATTTCAAGTCGTAATCACTTAGGACAAGAAAGAGGGATGAAAAATTACACTCAAAGACGGAAAACGGAACTTTTATAGATGTTAAGTGTTTCATTCAGGTTTCAAAGCTTCAAGAATATATCACTCAACTTCATTTATTTAGAAGGTATGATATATAAATAGGATATATTTCAGACACTACAACAAGCATTTTCGGTGTTTTGACTTCGTCCTTCGTTCACTACATTTTACACGATTTAAGATGTGCAGTATGAGTAGCATCACTGCTCAAAAAGTAATCTAGAAATATGCACACAGTGGATACTGAGATGCTGTGTATATACTTCTGGCCTTAGTTCGACAAATTTTGAATAGTATATTACCAGTTACGAACCTGTGTCAACTACAGACGCTTTGGCAGTCATGTTCTACATTTTGCAGTAGGTAAAATGCGTACTTAGGTACACAAACTTCTATGTGACTGTAGTTACGATATTTTATCAGTACAGAGGCATCATGTGAAGCAAACATCAGACAAAACTATATTTGGTAATTTAAAATGATACCTCATAGAGTGATAAAGACTAAACTAATGATTCAATCACGTTGATTTTTTGTCTTCGAATTTCAAATACGCCAATTTATTTACTCGTAAGTTTGCTTGAAGCGACGTTTTTTAAGCAAGGTAAATAATGTATATAAGGAGAGAGAGAAAGAGAGAATTTGTGAGGAAAGACAGTTAAGAATCTAATTGAATGTAGCTTTCCTGAAATTGGAGGGAGAAAAATCGGTTAGGAAGCAACTGTAGTGACTCCCTAACTTAGCCACAGTAGAAATATATGCCACATAGATATCTGCAGACCACAAGTGTTCCTTACACACTAATTTAGAAGTGTTAAAGAATCCTACTTCGTAACCGTGCATCAGTATGTTATTTTCAATATTCTGCAATTCTACTGTGTACTTTTAAGATTCACATATATGATCACATGAAAGTAGAACGTCGCACAACCTTGTATCATTTCAATCCGCTACAACTCGAAGGAGCATAAAACGACGGAAGTTAACTTTCCGATAAGTACTTACGCCTTAAGAACCTAGTGTTAGAACTTCATATGACCTTTACGTCGGATCAACTTAATAAGTATTCTTGATGATAGTTCAAAAAATTTGTTATTCGTGTTTCTCGGTTACTGGTTTGATGGCATTTAAAGTAAGACGTTTTTAAGAGATGAGATGAAAAACGATCTTAACAATTATTAGACGCGAAAACACGAGAAATTTAATAATTCTCTTTATGTTTCAGAGAAAGCTTTACCTTTGAGTAACAGGAGCTGGTAAGTTTTATTATGTATACTGATTCAAACAATATATATCAGGGTATATGTTTTAAAAAAGGATAAAGTGCCGTTTATAATGGTTGACTTACAAACTTGAAAGTAAGTTCCAACAACTACATCTACCCTTCAACATTCAGCGATAACATATTGAAGAAGCAAGAAGACAGACACGAAGGAAAGAATGTTTACTGTCAACAATTGGGACGGTAATCGTTAGATATGGTACACCTTGAACTAAAACCATCAGTTGCAAAATGTGCTTCGTTTCCTCTTCTGCTTCTCTCTTGATTTGCTCTTCATACATTCTTATCAGCAACACCCACTGTAATACGCCTGCATTATCCCTTGTGTTGCTCTTGGCAGAATCCTTACCCATTGCTGGTAATTCCCCTATGATTTCTGCCACCCTCTCAACATATACTACTTATATCTATTCTTATCAGCGGCGCCCACTACACTCGTCCCCCCCCCCTCCTCAAAATTTCAGGCTCGCAACCGTGTTGATCGTCTTGGTACTATCTTCTCTTGGTTTTCATTCATTGTTTCGTCTTTTTCGCACTGTTTCCATTTTTGAAGTAGGCTGGCGTTTACTCTTTTCTCTCTGTCCCTGTTTTCGTTACACATTTCTGATGGCCTGTTTCCGCTGCTCTCTCAATCTTGTCATATTCCACGGCTGTTGTTGGGGCCAGGTCTTACTATGTATTGGGAGCCGTGGTTTCTTGCCATACATTGTCGCATCACCGCTGCGGTCACTGTCTTTGCGCGTTGATCAGGAATTGCGACAGTGTCTACCCATTCGTCATCACCAACAGGTATTGGTTGCCGCTAGCTGTCTGAGGAAATGGTCCCATTACGTCCACAGACCAGAGGTCACCAACTGCTGCTACTGGAATCGACTGAAGCGGCGGTCGTACATACCGATCACCTTTCATCGGTTGACAATGAGGACAACCTAGCACATGTTTGGCAACATCTCTCATACCTGGCCAGTACGCACTCTGTCTGAGAAGGTCAGCTGTCCGTGAGATACCTGTATGAGCTAACTGGTGGCATTCTCGTATCATTTTGTCGCGTAGACATTTCGGAATCACTACCAACCAACTTCCGTCGTTTTCTCGCCACGTCAGCATTCCATAAGTATTCATCTGTAGGCGTTCTTTCTGCATCAGCAACGTTCTCAACTCTTTATTTCCCACGGACTTTTGTGCCTCCGTTCTTTCAGTCATGGCTTTTATCACTTCTGTGTAGCGTCCGACTTCCGAAGGCGAATAAGTCTCAATGGGTCCCGTCCCACTGCATGTACACCATATGCGATCTCAGGTAGCTTATTTTCTTCGTCTGATCTCAATAAGAAGTCTGCCAACCAGTTTTCTTTCCCTGCTACATGGCCGATTGTGAAGTCATACTCTTTCAGTCGTAACACCCAACGTGATAATTTTCCTCCGGGGTCTCTCGTTGTCTTAAGCCAGTGCAGAGATTTAAGATCAGTTTCAATATGGAATCGTTGACCGAGGAGGTACGATCCCCATTTCTCAAGCACCTAAACTATCGCCAGACATTTCTCATCATCATCATTATCAACATAGGACCAGGCATTACTGCGTAACGGTCCGAGTTGCCACACCTCATATCAGCACATCAAGTAAAAGGTAGTGAGGTGAAGGATGAAGATAAGTGAATGCAGTCAAAAGAAATATAAAGTACGAGAAGAAAGGAAAGAGGAGTGACAAAATAGTGAGATTCGGTATAGCGTTGTTAAGATGAGGATAATGTGTGTATACATCTGCGCCACTGACTTCGGTTCTGAGCCATATCACCTAGGGTCTCCAACCACTGGTTCCTCTTGTCCCGTGGACCCCAACCACCTAGTCTGCATCGTCCTACATGGCTTAGACCAACAGTCAGAGACTTCATACATTGGTGCCATGTTTTAGTCTGGCCACCTCGGGCCTTTTTCCAGCCTGAACCCACCTCAGCCAACATTGTGTGACGAGGCAATCGGTGACTAGGCATACGTAGTACGTGTCCCAACCATCTCAGTCGATGAAGGTTCACAACCTCGTCAACTGACTTACCTCTTCTCCCTAAAACTCTACACCTAACTTCTGCATTACTCACATGGTGACACCACGGAATACGTCCTATACTACGAAGGCAACGGTGGTCAAATACCTGTAACCTTCTCATGTCTTCCACTTTCAATGGCCATGTTTCACAGACATTTCTTTTTCACTGTAGAATATTTCCGTTCTGCGGGTGTCGGGACACGGTTGGCATACTCCACTACTCCTTCAGTCTGTCTCAGGACTGCACCTATTCCATAATCACTTGCATCGGTGGACACGATAAATGGCCTACCAGGTATTGGTAGTTTTAACGTTATCTCCTGGTCATTTAGTTCTTTGATGTGATCAAATGTTTTTTGTGCCCCCTCCGTCCACACAAATTTGGGGTTGCCCAGTAGCTTATATAACGACGCTGCTATCTCATTGAAATTTTTGAGGAACCGACTGTAGAATGCTGCTCTACCCAAGAATTGTCGCAGTTTCCTCTTGGAATTCGGCACTGGAATAGTTCTGATTGTCAGAATTTTCTCGGGTAGTGGTTTTATTTCGCCGTTTCCAACTTTGTGTCCCAGCAACGTAACACTCCTCTTGGCTACTTGAGATTTTGTCTTATTGATGCGGAGTTCAAACTCATCGATACGTCTCAAAACAGATTCAAGGTATTCTATGTGTTCTGCCTCCGTCTGGCTGTACACCACCAGGTCATCACCGTACACCTCTACGTTCTCTAAATTCTTCAGCAACATCATCAATCGTCTAAATGTAAAGGGCGCCCCTGCCAGACCAAATGGCATTCGCTTGAATTGGTATTGCTTCTTGCCCACAATAAATGCTGTTTTCTCTTTATCGCGTTCTTTCATTAGTAGCTGCCAGTAGCCTGAGCGGAGGTCCAGAACTGTAAATACTTCTGCATTCTGCAAACGATCCAGTGTCTCAGCTATTGCCGGCATGGCACATGGCTTCAGTTGCGTTATGCTATTTAACTCCCGGAAATCAATGCAGAATCTACATTTCCCATTTGACTTTCTTACTAAAAGCACTGGAGAACTGTATGGGCTATCAGCCTCTCAAATAATACCTTCATCTAGCATTTCCTGAATCTGGCGCCCAACTTCTTGTTCCAAGTGACATGGTATTCGCCGTGTGATAAATGTTGTCGTTGCCTGACTGGTCACTGGGATGTCATGCTGAACCTCGTCACAGTAACCATAGAGGTCTCTATCTCCTGTGAACAACCTGTCGTACTTCTTAACCACCTTCATGATGTTTGGCGCTTCTATGTATGGTGCTTTTGATACTTCAATCTTTGCTACTTCGTTGCTTTCGTGTGTGGTGAATGACCCGTACGTCTTCGCCACTAGTCCTGTTCTCGTGTTAATAACTGTGCCCATTTCTCTCAAAAAATCAGCACCGAGGATTGGCCGTTGTAAACGCGTGGTCATAATAAGTGGGAATCTAATTTTCCGACTTCCGATCTCAACGACGCAATCTGATAAGCCTGTGATATCTAGTGCATGTCCCCCAACCGTGTGGACCATTAGAGCACGTGGTCTTGTGTTCTGAGACTGACTCTTATCTATTAGCGAGACTGCCGCCTCTGCATCTATGAGACACACGATCTCCCGATCATTTATTCGCATTCTAGTATACAACGCACCTCGATCTATGGCTCCTACAATATCTAGTCTAATCAGAAAAACAGAACTCTTATTATTTCGTTCAAAACGTTTTTTTCTTCTTTCCGGGCAGTTTCTTTGCCAGTGTCCCGGTTTTCCGCATGAAAAAGATTTACTCTGTCTGTTGCTATTCATTCGAAGTGCAGCCACCTCCTCCTGAAGGTTGTCGATTTGTTTTTGACAGTTATTTACCTCTGGTGACTCCACTGCCGCTACTCCCGTACCCGTTAGCTGTCTGGTCACCTTGGCCATCTCACTAATGTCCATGGGCTGGGCTGCGTTGACTAGTCGTAACTGCTGGGCGATGGCATTCGGGACACTTTCGGTGAACTATGCAGCCAGCAACTGTTCTCGAGAGTCCTCATCCAACGTAGGAAGTGCGCGTCGAAGTAGTTTGGTCAACTTCACAGTCAACACCAGCGGATCTTCGTCTATTCCCAGTCTCGTGCTCCAGAACTGCTGCACCAACAGCTCCCTGTCCGCCTCCAGGCGTTCAACTATTCTCCGCCAAGTTTCCTACTCATCACCACGTTCCACGCCATCATATGCTGCTTCCGCTCTACCCCTCAGCAACGTGCCCAGCACCACGACCTTCGTTCATGGATCTCGGACCCTCGTCAGCTCCGCGACCGACTCGAAGTCCCTGAGGAAGACCTTGATGTCTCCATCCTCGAACACTGCAGACCACGGAATCTACATCACGTCCAGAGGCAGCGACACGAATTGAAGAAGCAAGAAGACAGACACGAAGGAAGGAATGTTTACTGTCAACAATTGGGACGGTAATCGTTAGATATGGTACACCTTGAACTAAAACCATCAGTTGCAAAATGTGCTTCGTTTCCTCTTCTGCTTCTCTCTTGATTTGCTCTTCATACATTCTTATCAGCAACACCCACTGTAATACGCCTGCATTATCCCTTGTGTTGCTCTTGGCAGAATCCTTACCCATTGCTGGTAATTCCCCTATGATTTCTGCCACCCTCTCAACATATACTACTTATATATATTCTTATCAGCGACGCCCACTACAATATGAACTATGGTTCATAAATTCCCGAGTAAAATGTTTTGACATGTAAGATAATACCGCTTTTAAGCTTAAAACTGGGGTACATTGCTATATTCAGTTATTTGCTTAGTCGCGCAACGTCAAAATTGCCAATGAATACACACACAACAGAATAAAGTAAATGATACATCCATATGTACAGAATAAGATGGAAGGTGAAAAGAGATAAGCCACTTCCGCAGATAGATGCTACAGAGCTCATTAGAGGCAAAATCTACGTAATGTGGCACAAAATCTTGTTTGGAAATGTGAGACAGGAAACCAGCTCACTCTTGATAAAGCATATAAATTAGGGTTGTCGAAACCAACTACTCCACACTCCGAAAACAACCAGGTTTCATTTTTATCACAAATATACTAGCCTAGTCATGCACTAGATGAATACAAAAGTCACACCACAACATCAGAAAAATGAAATGGACCTACAGTTCTTGCAGGAACTATTTTAGAGACAGCAGTTTCACATAAATTCTTATGAGGTCTTGTTGCTACAGAAGGTAACCGTTCTTGCCCATTATTCCACTCATTGTTTTTTGGTTTCAAAGGAAAACTGAGAAAACATTTGATGCAAAATTATTACATTGTGAAGTAACCAATGAACAGATATTATCGGACAATTCATTAGATAATTAAAAAGTATCATAGCAGGAAATACAGTGATCAAGTTCTGATTAGGAGTAACTGCTGAATTTCAAAGTCACAGATTACTGCTGCTGTTACCTAACATAAAAAGACAGGAGGGGCGTCCAGTTAGTGAACTGTAAAATCCGATCTAGCTAATTGTTCAAGTAACTTCACTTTTCGCCAAAGTAAATATGTTTACATCATGAATCCGTAAACTGCGGGATAGCTCATTTTGGATTGTCAAAACAGTGCAATTTTGCATTTCACTTTTACCTTATACAGACTGCTAGACTCAGGCTACATCAATGCCGGATGTTACCTACTCTTATCGCGTAGAAAATTTGACTAACCTTTAAGAAACTGCACACGTTTTTCTGGCATGCCCACTTTCAATAGAGTTTCCTTATATTTTTATGGTGAATGCATTATTTCAGCCCTTGTAGCTCCATTGAATGCAACTTATAAGAGACTGAAGCACAGTTTCAGTGTGTGAATAGCTTTTGAAAACTATTTTTCTTAATAAACGATAATGATCACCAGTTTTCAGACAAATTTTCACTTTTAATTTGATAGCGACCTGATAAATCTCTATTGGAAGAGAATTACCGCTACTTTGACAATGCATAAAACAAACCTCACAGTCATTTGCACTTTTGATAAAGATTTCTAGGGGATCACCTCTAATTTGGGTTCATATACCTGGTGTATTATTACGACACTATGAAAATGTGTGACTCCATACCAATATCAAGAAAAAAAAGACAATCAAAAAGTCTTAGTTCTCACCAAATTCAGTTCAAAAATGAATATCACAGACACTTTTAAGCAGCCGATAAGTTGGCAGTTATTAGGATTGCCTGGGAGCAGGTCAAATCCATTGTGAAAACAATGGTATGAACGGTTAGTCACTCCTTAATTTATTTAAAATGCAAACTTCGCACAACATCGGTACTAAGAGATGTGCCAATAAAAAAAAATTTAACTCGGTACAGATTCATGTATCAGTCTGAGTTGCTCTTATTGTGTAGGCCAATGATATTACTCAGTTACCTACATTGAACTAGGTGCATGACTTGAACCTGGGGGCCGCTGTTTGGAAGTTAAGTCCCTAACTCGAAGAGGCACACTTCCAATATGAAAGATTTGATGTGATCTATCTTTGGGGTAGTAAAAATTATTGAGGGCTTTGGACGATTGATATCTCTATCCGCTAAATTACAGAAAACCTAACCTGTGAGGTGGGTTTACACTCCTCAGAACTGTGGCGGTGTGGGTCATTAGTCTGGGGACTTGAATTCAACCAGTGGGTCACGGGTTTGAATCTAACCTCACCTACCGAGATTTGAGCAGCCAAGTAGTATCATTAGCCTACACACAATCAATGTGGCTCACTGCCTACTGTGTGAACGTGGATGTGATCTCTGAGCGTATTTAGATTTTTCTCAACAGAATGTACAGACAGATCAAAGGAAAAGTGTGTCAGTACATGCTATCAAATATTACAGTAGTATGCGAAACAAATAGAAAAAGAATGGCATATAAGTGGAAGTGTTTAAGAAAAACGAGCGAATAAATAGGTGGAGCTTAATGAAAATACTCAGTACTTCGATGATAACAAAAAGTGTTTACATCTGAGCCATTGTATGAATACTAAGGCAGATTTCCTATACACGTGGATATCAAAATACCTAATATATTCAAACGTTGCAGGATGACTTATTCATGGCACCTTAGCGACAATTTTATTTTGCGTTAGGTAAGTAGCCAAATTCAGCCAACATCTTCCGGTCAATTTTTTAGCATGACTCTTCGGAATAAAGTCTATACAAAGTTTCGTCTGGTTGGTTTAATACGAAAGAGATTATCAGTCACCATGTTACAACTGCAGAAATTTGATTCATAAACAACCGATGAGAAAGTAGTCTCCGATTTTCTGATATCCATCTCATAGTTAACAGCAGAAGGCAACTGTCGTGACAGAATGAGTTTAATAACTGGAAAAAACACTCGTAGCTAGTTCGTGATCCGGACAATCCTATAATTCGGGAAGTGACAAGTAATAACTATTAGAAACACGAACAATGCAATTCAATTAAGCAAACCAATAAGCTTAAATTTGCGGTTTAAATATTTTACGCACATTATCCCAGATACCTCCTAAGAATATTTTTAGGGAAAGTTTCAAGTTTGCATAGCATAATCAAAGTATTTTGTGAAAAAGCGAGACAGGACCATATTGAGCAATGACGGTGAAAAGGGTTTGCATACCTGGGCGCACTTGTGTCCCGAGTTACGCAGCATAACCATCGTCGCGATTTAGATTAAGCAGTTATCAAAACCAAAATGAATTTGACGAGACCTCAATATTTACTGAATACTGGTGTTGAAACCAAATTTCTTCTTCTATTAGAAACTCCAATGCAAGTAGCTCAGATTTTCAGGTTTTAGCTTCTTGCCACCCTTTTTGTGAAGAAAACTAGATCTACTTTACCTAAGCTTCTATGTATCAAATCTAAATTATTCAGCATTTTTTGTCCTTACCTAAAAGTAGGACATGTTACATTGATAGTAACTACTAAGGATGATGAAAACGATTCATAGATCACAATAGGGGTAATAACAGTGTTATCGAGAATCAACAGTAACTGCATAATTATAACCTTCAATCTTATGATAATGTAGTACACAATTCTCTGTGGTTAAATCCCACAGCTAAATAGAAACACTAAAGATATAAGTGAAGTTCAACAAAACCCAAACAAACTTTCTGCAAGACGAAGTAGACATCTTGAGGCTATTCATTGTAGTATGCGATTCACTAAGTTCTGACGGAATGATTTCCGAGTCTATTTGAAATGGGTTCACTGAAAAAGCTTCCGATACATTAATTTCATGGTATAATCCATCAGCTACACAACAGAAAGGGGAAATAAATTAATAAATAAGATATGAGCGAATATAAAAAGATTTTGAAAAATTTAAGCGCTGAAGCCATACTAGAGTGGTTTTATAGTTTGAATGGATGATACCATGTAACAAGATTGGAGGCCATAGGCTTTCTACGGGCATATATAATTATACACATATCCTTACCAAGTGATAGGCTTAACTGATATTACTTCGTTGCGCATTTTGCTATACCACGCCAGCTGCTACAAAACAATTTCATACTGAGTTAACTTCAGAAAAAATCATACGTTAACATAGGGGAGCCATGACAACTTTATGTCACCTTCATCATATATGAACACACGCTGACTCATGTCAGAACTGCTTACATGACGTTTGCAAACAGCCTGACAAAGACAACGGTGATCGAACACGGAGTCATTAGACCTATTCAGCTCAGAAAAGTGGGGTTTTACAAGTGTGGAACAGAACAGCTGCACCGACAGGTTGTCAACAATGAGTATAGCACAGACCGCTGCCAATCTTGTAGAAGCATTGTGCACTTTGATAGTGTGAAGTACATATACAATAATTACGAACAATGAGTGGGATTTGAGTAGTTTGTAAAGTGTCGCACAGTAAAAGGATCTCATCCGCACACTAGAGGTTGAAAAGTCTTTTACATACTGAGATAGTACACGGCAACCACTGCCACAGATTTTCTGAGGGGTTGACTACGGAATAGGCTTGATGTTAAAGTTAGAAAGGAATGGCGAAACTAAGAAGCCATGCATAAACCCACAAATGGTTTGGGACAATAGAGAGGTGGCTGCAAGCATTCACTCTATCTAAAATGCTAAATCATAGGCCCTCAAGATGTTAACACAAGTCTTATAGACATCTGAGTCTCAGAAACAATTCCCGAGCATCACTCCGTCCAAAGAATTGATGGCAGCCCTAACATCGAGGAATACAACCAATATCAATGGGCAATAGTTGTGAGGATGTTACAGCATCTCATGGAGAGTGAACACGTAATCAACGTATCCTCGATCTGAAGGAAAACCTGCACGCTTCTCACGCAGAGTGCCAGCAAAGAGGGATTTGGGATTACTGTGTAACGGTTCAAGTTCCCACACCTCATATTAGCACATCAAGCGACAACTCATGGAAACGAAAGTCAAAGAAATAGAAAAAGCAGTCAAAAACGGTGGAAAGCCGTGAACGGATAGAAAGTATGAATTGAAATAAAAACGAAATTAGGAATGACAACAGGGATATGTGGATGCATCTGTAGTACTGAGATCCGTCCTAAGCCATATCACTACAGTAGTTTATTAAGCTTATCCAAGCCGAAAAGGCTACATTTCTTCCACATAGGTCAAATCAATAATTAGAGACTTCAGCGACTAAAGCAACTTCTTAGTCTAGTCACCTCAAACCTTTTTCCATTTTGAATTTACTTCACCTGACATTGCGCGACGGGTAATAAGGCATGTGTAGCACATATCTCAATCAATAAAGGTTCCCAACATCATCTGTAAGCTTTCCTCTTCTGCTCAAACTTGACGCCTACCTTCTGTATTACTGATGTGGTATCACCAAGACACATGGTGCATGCAAAGAAGACGACTGTGGTCATACACCTAAAGGCTTTTCATGTCCTCCACCTCTAATAGCTGTTTCATAGCTATACAGTAAAGGAGAGTGAAAAGCAGCACAGTATACTCTGCCCTGAGCAAGTGGTCGGATATCACGGTGGCACAATAAATGGCAGAAGGTAAGCGAGCCCTTTCTATCCGTGCAGAGACTTCCCAGGTAAGTTAAGTGGTCAACGCGTATAACCACTCCACTACCTATTCTTAGAAAAGGCAACCGTGAAGGCCAGTACTGGAGTAACAATTTGCTTTTGGATGTTGAGAAACACCTTAAAAAGTTTTCATACAGTTGAAGGGAGGGCCCAGAAGACTAAATCTTGTCAGCATCACCTAAAAGGTATTTATCATCTTTGTAATCTAGATCTACAAAGGAGTCTCCTCTGACAAGATGACGAGAGGGAATCCACCATAAATACGTCCATCGCGAAAGTAAATAAGAGGGGAAAGAGTTGACATTGTTGACGGACACTACTCGACGTACGCAACTCACCACAGGCTATAACTCAACACGCCCACGGGGGTTCGAGTATAGAGCCTTCGACAGTGTTGTGTGTATATGCCACCCGTTTCAGTGAGAGACAGTGTATAAGATTTTGCGGGCGATGGAGTCGAATGGCACCTTCAAGTGAAGAAATACAGCTGGTGTCGGGCGCCGGCAAGTGTGTCTGTGTTCTAAGAACTGGTGGAGGGTGAAGATCACGTTGATAAGCCTACGACCACATCTGAAAACTATCTAGTTTTCTCGGGTATGCTATTCACTAGCTTCACTTAGGCGTTTAGTGATCATACGATCAGGGATCTTAAACACTATGCTTGTCAGAATGATTCCCCTGTGGTTACTACAGAAGACCGGAACAATCAGTGATTGAGATCAGTTAGATTATATCTGATTTGCACATGTTAAATACCATTTCAGTTGATCTAACCAATAACCCTTGACTACCATCCTTGAACACCTGCGATAGCAGTCCATCTGGTCCTTCTGCCCTACCTCTATCCAGGTTACATACAGCCATCTCAACTTCTGCGGAAGTTGGATGGTTTATCTCAGTCAGAGAGAGACAAGATCAAAAGAATCTGCCATTACTGTGTACAAGCTGTCGCACCTCATGTCAGCAAATCAAGCGACAATGCACCAAAACGAACGACCAACAAACAAAGAAAGTTGTCCTTTGGATAGTGGTAAGATGAAAAGTAGTTACCGTTGTAGTATAAATTGCTACACTATGATAAGGGTCAGAGGGCAAAGTCGCACTGAGGCTGCCTGGATTGGGTGTGATAGCAGTAAGGTGTTTCCTTTGGATGGTCAACAATGACACGCAGATGCAGCCTAAAAATAACACCCCACCTGCCCGATGGTTTTCTGGTATCGGCAGTATAGGTCCTCTCAATCCGGCGTTCAAACAACCAAACCCAAAAGGAACACCCTGCAAAAGGCCGCGTGTGGCAGGCCTCAAGTAGATGTCCTGTGGGCTCTGTGGTCACACAAATATTTTTCTCTTTCAGGTACCTTAAGAGGGAATAGCCTTCCGGGAAGTGTTAACTGCCCACACGTTTCCAGTAGTACACAAGACCCAATCAAACATAACCTATCTCTATTAATTCGGTTTCCTCCTTTGCATTCACCTGTTGATACTTATAATAAGCCTCTTACGTCTTCCCCAGCACTTCACTCTGCAACCACTGCCAACGATCAAAGCCATCGAAACCCCATTCATAGTCTCCTAAGACCCCTCTGTCGATTTCATGTAGGAGCTTTCATCGTCTGGACTCAACGCCAAATCGAACAGCAAGCATTGTTGGCCAAAAACTCTTGAATCTCTAGCCATGGATGTATGCTGTGTCTCTGAGACATGTATACAGGACCGAAGTGTGGTTATTAAATTCACCTGACCTGTCCATAGTAGTGAATCTTCAAAATTCATTTTACGAGTGTCTAGAGATCCACTAGCTAGCTTTCGTGGACTCACTGATGTGGATATAACATTTAGTTGTAGAGTGGGAAGTGCACTTCTCGACTGGATGCCAGTAAACATCCATCTATGTGCTGTTCGACTAAATAGATCTGTAAGGGCAACAAAGGATTGTGAGACCAACCGATGCCTGTTCGTATTCTCCCCCTACGCACCTGACGACTGTACTTCGGATGATGCAAAAGATGAATTGTATGAAAAGCTGTCAACTTTGCTACAGAAAGTAAAATGTTCAGATGCAGTCATAATGGCGAGTGACTTTAACCCTCAAGTAAGGAAGTTCAGCTATTTGGAAAGGCATGTTGGGGGCACTTACAGAATCCCATACCAACGAACTGACAACAGTGATTTGTTGCAATTTTGTTCCGATAATTATCTCTTTCTGGGTTAGCACTAACTTTAGACATAAGGATAGACACTGTCTCACATGGCGTCCGCAGACTTCGAACCAACTATGGACACAGACACATCACATTGCTACAAGCCATGGTGGGAGAGAATTGGTGGATTTCCGCTCTTTCTAGACTAACTGTTGGGACCCTGATCACGCGCTAGTACGGGCTTGCGTGTGCCTATCTCTCACTGGTCGCTAGAAACAACAGCCACTGAGGCCATCTGTGCTCGATTGGTGGATAAGGACGCCAAGTGTGCATTTAGAAAGGAGTAAGCTAAGCATTTATCTAAACTTGATAACAATGCTCATCCTAAGGAAACTTTTTGTGATATTAAATCTGCTGTAGAAACAGCACTAAAGACAGTTGGAAAACTTCATCCAACGGTTAGCAAACGCCACTGGATTTTCGGCAGCTTCGACTGAAATAGCTGATGCGAGAAGACTAATTTCAGCTGACTCCGACCACGACGAAGGGCGAAAGCAAATAAAACATAAATTGACCAAGAGTCTTTCCAATGGCCGTGAGCAGTGGTGGGTGGTGAGAGAGAGGGATGGATAAGGCATCAGTGTTGGGTAATACTCCTCAACTATAAGGTTTATATAGGATGCCGGCAACGAGAAGATGGTTAGTGAAACTACAAACTAGAAGGATGGGACGCTGATAACCTCCCAGGATAGACGGCTAGAGCGTTGGGCAGAACACTTCGAAGCACAGTTCAACTGGCCCTCACCAGCGCTTCCGTTGCCCATCATCCAGCCAGACCAAACTGAATGGGATACAGATGTCGGTCCTCTAACTCCCTTAAAGTTGACAAAGCTGTGTCAAACCTGGAAAGATGTAAAGCCACCTGAAGTTTTCCAAGATGGAGGTAGAAAGCTGCTGCTTAAAGTGACAGGGGTACTAGGTAGTGTATGGGAAGAAGATTTAGTGCCGTCAAACTGATGTGCTTCACTGATTATCCCAATCTATAAGGGGAGAGAGAAATCTTCTTGCAACAACAAAAGAGGAATCAGTTTGGCTAATATTGTGTCCAAGATCCTATTGTCCATAGTTATCCAACCCCTAACAGGAGCTGGAAAACAGTAAACACGAGAGAACCAAGCAGGTTTCAGAGTTGGACGAGGGTTCACCGATCATACTATCACCCTTCTACAGTTTCTGGAAAACAGGCCTACCCACTGGTGGCTTACACTTGTATTTCTTAGCATGATGGAGACACTTGACTCTGTCGACTGCGAGGTGTTGTGGCAGTATCTGACTGTGAAGGGAATGCCGAGTAAGTATACCACGCGAATCACAGTTGTCTAGTGACACTCACTCAGCTATTAAAGCGCTTGTGAAGAGTAAGTATCTGAAATGACGAAAATTAGTGGTGTCCACAACGGATATGCTGTGTCGCCATTCCTATCTAATTTCACTATCGATATACTAGTGGGCATGATCTTAGGTACCTTTGAGTTTACAGTGATTGATTTTCTGCCTGGAGGTTATCTATTTGACTTGGAGTATGCAGATGATATTGTCCTGCTGGGTGAAGACGTTGACAAAATACAGTCTTCGGAAGCTGTTGAGTAGGAATCTGAGAATGTTTGGCATGCGTTTGATTGGCACCTGTTAAATGTAAGATGATGCTCCGGGTCTGATCTGCTGCAAGTACTCCCAGTTTAATGATAGGCACTGGAGTGGTGGAATGTGTTGACCACTTCACTTACTTGGAAAGTTGCATCAGCCAGAAAGGGCTGGCTGCTCATAAAATCTCAGCTCGGATATAGAAGGTCCGTTTGGCACTTGCTAGCATGTGTAATCTTTGGCGCCAAATGGCAAGATATTCGACTATCTATCAAAAGACAAGTATACTGCCCTGCAGTCCGTTTTGCGGTTTTACGGCTATTACTACATGTACACAGTTGGATTGGATTTTCTAATGTATGCCTTCCCATTGCAATATGCAAACACGAAACGGAACGATTGTTAAAAATATTTGTTTGTGAAGGAAAACCATATGCATAAATAAAAAACGCTACTGTCTACTTACGACAACGCTTATTTGGGTTGCAATACAACTTTGTGGAACAATGCACAACGGCGAAACCCAACTCTGATTCCAAAATCGGTCTTTGGTTTAAACTTCGCAGAACGGAATAAATCTTGCGTTGCCATAATTCAGTTACTGAGGTGGGATGCAAATGAACGACACAAAATCCCGGTTTCGATAAGACATCACGCAGAATATCTTCTCCAGAAGAACTTCCAGAAGTGCACATGTCACTTTCAGAGAGCACAGTGAGAAGGGAATCATACGAATCAAGCAGATATAGCTTTCCACTTCCAAGATTGATTATTTCCAGCAGACGGTCGTACTGAAATTAAGAAGAATCTGATTAATTATTCTGGGGGTGAAGAAATCTACAGAAACATCAAATCACCTAGTGAAGCTATGAATTTGTATTAACTAATTCAGTTAGACTGTTATGAACACCAAGTTTCCACTTACTGGGAATCGTCATGTTGGTTAAAACATGTGTTCTCTGAAACAGGGAATTTCGGAAGCACAAACCCATTTGATACTGCATAAAACCGAATGTTGCAATTATTGACAATCTTACTTTTTCAAACACGAATGCTTTATTTCTGTGACTATCATTCTTCTGTCCTATCTCTAAACGATTTGCTCGTTTTCATGGTAGCATTGCTGAGAAATGAATCAACTTTAAAAAACATACTATTGTACCACCATCGTTTGGCAAACAAAATAATTAGGTTCACAAAATGTGAGATGCAATAGAGCAGAAAAAACTGTACGTTCAACACTGATAAAAATTCAAGTTAGTGAATCTAATTTAACTTCGAAGCACTAATGATATTTAGTGGCTATCTACTTCATATTAGTAAACTGCTTTTCTGCAGCAGTGCATGAATTTGACAATATGACAACAACAATCATAAAAAACTTTTGTATGGATTGATATCTGCTAGACCGCATTATCATTGAAAGATGTAGTTTTTTACGTCATGCATGAATTTGGAAATAAAAGTTTATCAACAGATTATAATTTTTCATGTTTCTAAGTAAATTTGCTGGATCCTTTTATTATACTGGACTAGTTTTACAGTTACAAACTTTGTCAGTACGGCTGATCATTCGAGACCTAAAAGCGAAACTTGAATGGCAAAGAGACCTCTAATGAAAAGTTCTCTTTCCTGCCAATATCAAACATTACCAATACCATGGCTTATCAATTATTGTGATATGCATGGATTTATCTTTCTGCAATTTAAGTACAAAAGCTTGACTACAATACAAAAAAGAAAATATTTCTGATAAAGGAAATCCGATGTAAACCATATTCAAATAATAAATGGTTTGATCTAGGTGACATTCGAAGATGACATAGACAACACCTAACCCCAGTAACTTTGTAAAAAAGTAAACTAGTGATTAAATGGTTGATCCCTTCTGTAATCGCTGAAAGTAATACTCTGCTTTCTTATGTTTCACTACATTTCCAACTTGTCTCCCTTGGTATTAATGCCCAATATAAACAGTATGTATCGTTAGTTATTGAAGCCTGTGCAAATAAAACGGCTATGCGATATGCTGAGTGATTCACTAAAACAGGTAGCACAAGATTCAGAAATAATCTATAGACAGTGAACACACTGAGGCTTCAAAATTGATAGGTCAAACTTATAACACACCCAGCAGGAAAAATTTCTGCCACTGGCTTTTTGGTGCCAGTTTTCTTGGTCAGTCTAAATAGTTTTCTGCTGCTACACGTAGCAATCACCTCTTCAACTTGCTTCACCTTCGCTGCTTATCTGCTGTTAAGTTTTTCAGGTGACTTACACGGCTTACGAAGCATGATAACAGCCAATATTTTAGACTATTGGTTACAGACTTGCACGGTGAGGATGTACAACAACCACTGCATTCTACAGTGATGGAACACTCTCAAGGCTTTGGTAGTAGTAGGCAATCTCTTCACCAATGTTTTATATGTATCCTTAAAAACAGCAAAGCAGTTGGCTGAGTCAAGTGCCTTATACCGCTAAACAACCTGGAGTTTCTTATAAACCTTGAGTTTGTTAGGTTAGTGGATATTAATCGACCATGGAGCACAAGACACTGAAGTTGATGTTGCTGGAGCGGCAGGCCATCTCAGCTGCTTTTCGACGTGAACCCAACGTTAGTCTTCTCTACTCTTGTAGTGGTTAACATCTAGGCAGTAATTGGTTGTTTTCGGTAATATGGTTGGTTGGCGGTTGTGGTCGCCATTCTTTATATCCCCCGATCACATGAAGAAAATATATGTTAGTTGCGACTTATTAGATGAAAGAGGAAAGTTACTTAATGAAGCTGTGAACTTTCACCGACTGCAGTGAACGGAACGTGTTACGCATGTTCAATTTCCATCTACGCTATTGCAGTATGTTACCTGAAACAGAATTTGGCTGGATAAATGCTGAGGACGATCAAATGAAAATGTGGAACCAGCCAACGAATTTATGACTGCTGCTTTGAACCTTGCAGTTAAATGCAAACTCGAAGGTTGAGGTTCACCTGTAAACTAAAATTCATGGTTGGAGAGTTTAGAGTATAGAGCCCAAGATCAATCGCATTAGAGAAATTACACTCACACCTTCACTGTGACGGTTATAACACATCTTAACATTCACTTTACACCCTCCGTACTTCATCCTGTAGCTCTCTACAACTTTTTAGTATCGAAATTTTATTTATCTGAGTATCATCTTGTTACTTTGTATCTTGGTGCGTTGATGGAAGGTGTGAAAACCTAGACCATTAAGCAGTAATCCTACGTTTCATAAAGGTATTTACTAACTGACTGAATTCAACTGTGTTATCAGAGGGTCAAGTGAAGAACAACTAATCTTTAAAACGTATGAAAAGTTGGGTAGAGGACACGTAAGAGTAACTCAACTGACCTACTGCAATTGCAACTTCAACCAATGACTTACATCCCACTGTCGGTGAAACCCAAAATGTCTGAAAAGGCGACATTTTAAGTTTTCAATTTATTAAATAGCGCCGTGGAATGAAAGGTAAACGGCAAAGCACAGAATCGTACACAAAAGGGTACTCCCTGAAGTTGTCACGCTCTACAACATTATGAAGCAGAGTATAGAAAACTGAAGAGAGTATCATCGACGCTTTCGTTATATGATTTGAAGCACAAGCATAACAAATAACTGCAAGCTATAACATACTCGATACACTAACATTTGAAGCAGTTCTGATTAACCTGCTTCACATATATTGGAAAGTACGATTAGCGGCTTTTGTGACCATAGACTTGAATATCTGCAAGTCGGTTTTAGGCTGCTAACACTGTTTCTGCTTCCTAGTACTAAGCATTATTTATTTATCACCCAGAGTGCAGGGTAAGCCTACATTGCTACCCATGTGTTAACGGTGATTATAAAACGTAAACTTATTATAATTAGTCTTTGTTCATGCAAAAAGCTGATATGCCGAATAATAGTTCCGTACGAGATGAATGAACCATCGCGTTGTCTAAATAAGGACGGGTGACTGCACAGCAAATTGTCTGAAGTTTAGAGATAGAAGTGTGGTGCATACACATTTTATGCCTAACAACTTCCCCGTCATTGCGCTTTGAATCCTGAGATATGAGTGAAATAAGGAACAACACAAATCCAATATGCAACGATAAGTTTTATCTAATTTTTGGCCAGATGCTTTTGCACCAAACACGGTTTTGCAACTAGATAATGTTAAGTAGAATGTATTATTTTTCCAATACGGAAGTAAGTCGGTGTTGAACTTCATTACTTGCATGCACCAAATAGTTTGATTATTCACTTTTTAAACTACGTATCCATTCTATTTATGGAAGGCTCTGAAGTTAGAGGACAATTGCAATTCAGTGGGAACGACTCAAATGCATTATTCTGAAGTTACTCATCAGCACTAATTCCCAAATGATAGAGTATTTCCTTACTTTTTAAAAATGAATGAATGTGGGTTCGTTAATCCGCTGTCTTAGAAGTACGCACTAAGACACTATGCACTAAGTGCAGTAGGTCATGAGCTACACTCAGTCTGCAGAGACTGATGAGATTAACTGGCTGATGGAGCTGAGTTTAAACCCAAATCCTAAAGTTTAAATGACTGAGCCATAACCCCACATTTTAGTCGGTGGGGAATCATGAAACTGCAATGCAAAACCAGTGGTTGACAAATTGTGTGGACCGCACCTATACTAGAAATGACTGTCATCAACCTATTTCGAAGAAATGAGATGATCGAATATAAACAATGCACGGCATACAAACCAAACATCCATATGGTTTATGAACGTTCTAAATTCCTTGTACACGTGTATTAGGGTTTCTTACGCTTTCAAATTTCAACTCATTCGGCGCTTCCTACAAATCAAGCGTCATCTTAATCACCATGCTAGAGCTACATTTAAACCACGATGAATCATGAAAATAGTTTCGCAACGTTACATGAACACAAGCGAATGATAATGTTACACTGACCTTTTCTTGATTAAGAACGAAGAATGTTTTCCCATGGAATAAGTTACGACGTAAATCATTTGGAAAAAACTTCGGAGCATCACTGCTCATCAGCTTTTCTTCTTTCATGTGGGGCAAGAAGTTACGCTAGAAAAGTAAAATAACAAAGTTTATTAGTTACTGGGTCAGGTTTTGCTGCGAGTGTGAGCATACGAATCCTTTTAATTTCTTCCAGGTAGCTTGGGGTAACAATTGGAACACAGCAGAGCAATGCACATACGACCTATATGAAATGTTATGAGGGGAAATGTCCGAACCTTTGAAGTAACAACTAGAAACTGCATAACAAGTAGGTTACACTTCCTCGACCATTCACTTAAAATATTAGCATGGAGAAGGGCAGCGTCTGCTTTTGCTTTTTTCTTTACCTGCTTTTCCATTGAGGAAAATGCAATATTAAGTTGTGTGAACTTTAAACTTCGAAAATAAACAACTTGAGAACCTACATGAACTTTTTATGCCGAGCAGAAACGAACTGCATTACATCTCCTGAACGAATGGCTTGCCAACCTCCAGAAAGTGATGCACCATTGACGACAGTTTGTCCAGGGAAGTTTTCCGACAAACTGAAGCACAAGCCATTCTGATGTAATTATGAAAACTGTTTCGACATACCATATCGGTAACAGAAATTACAGCTATCTCACTGTGCACATTGTTAACTATACTTATGTCACATTTTGGCCCTCCAAACTTGATATCACCTGGCTGACTAACAACAAAGGATCTGAGATATTCTGAGGAATATATAAGCATGTGAAATAGATACCATTATTTACACCCCGTTCTTCTAACTCCCACATTGAATAGAGCGCCTCTATATAGTGCCATGAGTATTCGTCCTCAATACCCAATATGAATGATTATTAAGTCCACCCTGATTGACCATAAAATGGCCACTTGCGTTCTTCTGTTTCGTTTACACAATTTTTTTGTTATAGACCGGTGAAATCTAATTGATGATTTCAGTAGTTATTAGGGTCGCCTTCAGAGTCCAATCTCCAATATCTGTTAAACTGGCTTGCACAGATAAGCTGATTTCATCATACACACCTTCACTTGCTTGATGACCTTTGATGCACCATACCCAGCCACTGACCTGTTTTATGCCTGAAAAACTCAGCAGACCGTAGAATGTAGGTTAAATTTGACAGGTGATGTGCGATTCTTCCTGTAACCGTGGTGCAGTTGGGATCTTTAGAAAGCAGTATTGTTGGAGACTCGTTAGCAATTTTTGTAAGATAACTGAAGAGTTGTCTAAGCACAAAAGATTGTAAAAGGAGAAGATGGAGAAAAACTGGATAAAAGAGAAAAGGTTGAGCAAATTTAGAGAAGAATGGAGTAATTTGTGGTGAGTAGAGCTTGAATGAATTAGATTAAGCAGAACAGAGTAAGAGGCAGAAAAAGGGAGAGGGGTGAGCTGTATTAAAGATACTGAAAAATGTTCTACTGATGATATCAATAACTTTAAGGCAGCAGAAGCGATAAAACACGACAGTAGGGAATGGTTGTCGCTACACAGGAGTGAAAAAAGTTGTTGAAATAACGATGGCGACAAGGAAAGAAAGCCACTGTGAAGTTGAAAGAAAATGCTGAACTGATGCGGTGCCAACTGTAGAAAGCCAGTCCACATCCCAGTCGGGTAAGCAAGTCAGTGTAACAATGCCCAGCTACTCAACCTTTGCTTGAATATTGAGTACTGGCCACTCCAACAGGTAACACACTCCATTGGCTACAAGCCTGAAGACCGAGGAAGCGTGACTGCACATAGGTGTCGGCCCTCCTTGGGGAGATTTCCCTAGATCGCCATGAGGATCAGTGTTTAAGAATATCCATCAATTGGGGGTGATTCGGGCTATGCAGAATCCTACGAGACCTTATTTAGTCACCGCCAGTTGTATTAACTAAGATTGCAAGGGCAAAGAGCCTCCAGGCTGTTCCTACATAGATTACGTTGCATTTATACGCCACCCTTCATGCATCATCTTTGGACTATCTCTGACAGGTTCTTATCTGCTCTGAACTGAGATGACTTTGTGACATTTATTGCTTTGAGGTGAGGTCGAACAAGTCCTGTAGAATGTAAAATAGTAGCTCTTAGGTGATGGCACCTAGTAATCCAGGCATGGAGCGTTACACTGTACCGATCTTCCAGGCACCTGTCGGGCCTTCTGAACTGGTATTCAGCCCATTGGTGAAGAATGAGATCAATATCTTTCTAACCCATTTTGTTGGTGAGGTGCGTACAATAGAGGTAGTGGAAAACTTGCTACCAGCCGGGAGGGCAGCAAAAAATGGTCAGAAGTTCCTGTAGGTTAAATTCCAGCCTTGCTTCTTACCTACTCCACTAACATTCTTAGGTCGCCCCGCGACGCTTTAAAATCCCTGGCAGACCTCGCAAATCTTCATAAGTGCACCATGCAATGGAGGCGTAAGACGGAAAAGTTAAAGAAACGACAACGGGGCCAGTATATCTTCGCGAAAAATCGGAGAACGGTCTTTTCCATGTTGACCATACCCTGCTAAATTTCGCATAAAATCTTCTGACCTGTACACAGTCGCCAGCCAGAACAGCAACTTAACACTTACCCAAACTTATTTTTGCCAGCATTAAGGTAACATTAAGGAATACGTGGAAATCCTTGGTTAGATCCAAAAAGTCGCATGGGCACTGACCTGGATATCTTACCGTGTCATTCAGTTATCACGGGCGGCAAAATGTTGTTCGGCTCGTGATCTGCTCTAATCGCAGCCATTTTGAGCCTCGTAGAGTGCACGGCTGTGATTTTCTGCCGGGTTTTTCATTGCTGTCGATACCACTGGTGAAGTTGCCACAGGTCGGTTGCACACAGGATTGCATTTGTCTTCTTCCAGGTTGTAAGAAGTGGTGGTAGTTCGTCTTCATTGTTGAAGCCTGTGCTGGTTGAGGAAGTCCAAACGCTGATAGATAACTGTAGGGGCAGCGAGGGGACTTTGTCATATTCGGCCTCAAAAGCCTTTGGAAACCCATGCGGGAATTCATCTGCAAGGTGTCACTTACCCACTGGACAACATAGAAAACCCTTAAGCGTGCAAACAGCCATGAAAGACTGGTGGTCTTTTAAGATACATCAAAAGTTGCTTCAAACAATCTGGCGATTTTCAAGACGTAGAGGCGTTCCCTGCGGAGACTTTCAACGGGGCTCTTTGTCCAGTTGACTGTCTGTTCGCCATAATTTGATATAGGTTATTGTGGTCCGCCTAAACATCTCAGGTTTGGCTAGAAAAGATGACCTTTACATCAGCACCTTGCTGTTGGACCATTTCCTTCGGGCCGTATTGCACTGTGATTTGAATCCTTTCCACAGAGCCCTCACCTGAACCTGTGGGGGACTCGGTGGCTCCTCGTAGCAAGTGGGTCGGGCATGAGTGTTGATGGAACTAGGGAGAAGTTGGCAGGCTTCTCTTCCTTTAGAATCCCTCCTCCCAGTCCCCGGCATTAGTCAATAAATATTGGGCTTCAAACGTGGGGCTATGATGCCGTCAGAAGACATTCTTTCAATGCCGGTTAGTTTGCTTTGGTGCGGCAGAGGAAAAGATGAGAGGTGCCTCACAATGAATGTTCACTGGCTATCAAATAGCAATAGTTTCCACTGTAAAGAGAGGCCAAAATCTGTTCATTTCCGACTACCGCGTTATCGCTGGTGAGAAGATGTTTAAAAGTGAAGTTGTCCTATGCAGCTCTCAACAACTGTCATCCCGAATACTCTCACCCCCAGGGTGGTGGACGTGTATTGATCTTCGAGGGGTTGTCTTATCAACAATGAACATTTCCGTCGATGGTGTGCGAAACACTTCGCTATTTCCTCAGAACGCCGGTTGAAAGCTGGGACTATGCGAATCTGGCCATAGACAATCGAAGATATTGTTTTGTAAGACGCAAACGAACCAGTTCATGGCTGATCGATACTTCCATCCCACTCAACCTAATCGGCACAGATAGCCAATTTCGTGGTTGGAAATTGTGAAGGTATTGTCGCCAACGTCTATTTCTGAAGTGCCATGACTAACTACCATCGTAAGTTTTCCTGGGTTATGCGTTCTGGAGGCTTTTCTCAGAGCCCCTGGCTGACGCGGCGTACCTCTGACAGCGGGTTATTGGCCGAAAATCAAGATGTGACGGAAAACTGGGAGTTTGCTAACTTGAACTTAATAGTGATAAATAATAACAAATACTTCATTCTTCAATGAAAATTCATGGTTATTAGTACTAACACATTAGGTAGGGTGCTGATTAGGCAGGCGCTAGATCACATCGGGTCAGCTGGGGTTGATCAAGCGTTATGCAATGGTATCACATCTAGCACTCATACAATGCTATAAACATGTGAAATAATGTTAAACTAGACGTTTATCTGATGAAACATGGGACTATACCAATGGGTCAAGGATAATAATACTTCACTTTATTCCAAACGATCTATGGTACAATTTGGAATTCTCAGCGTAATATATATTGCAATAACAACAAAATATAAGTATATACATACTACTCTGCAGCTTTCTGAATAGTTTCATCATAAAAATTTAAGTTATGTGAAGAAAATTAAAAACGAGAAAATTTTGCATTGTAAGTTAAATTATTGAAATGAGATTTTTTACTGTCACAAAGTTGATGTATGATTTCTGTTCTAACACTTTTTCCTCACAAAATATGCGTGCAAGATAAAATACGGTCGAGTTCTTATACTTAGCTGTACGAGCATGCAGTCTTACGTAGTTTCTCCTTGTCCTCCCTGAAGAGATGCATGGGGAGAGCTGTAAATGAAGTGGATGCTCATTGTCAGTTAAAATTTCTGTAGCTAGTAGCTTGCAGGAATTTATGTGTCTATCAACTACAGTGTTAATCAGTTGAGCCAGAGACACACCACTCACCCTGCTGACGGTCTTCAAAGCCCTAAGAAACATAACATAGTCCTTTTTAAGAAGACCAGGAGAGATCAATGGGGAACAATATAAAAGAGTAGGTAAAATGCAGGAATTAATAAATTGTGAAAGAAGCAGTTGAGTTATACCAAAAAGCCTAAATTTCTGTACTTATTAGAGATTTTTCTACAAGTCAATAAAATATGAGACGACCAACAAAGGTCAGAAGTAAAACGCAACTCAAGATAGTTCATATTCGATTTACTTTCTGCAGGAATACCATTGATGCAGCATGCGTCATGAGATTTAAGCAGCTCACATAGGTCTTGTTTACTCCTGAGGCTAAAATTAACGGTCTGACATTTAGAGGGGTTTGGTTCGGGACCATTTGAGAGAGACCATTTACCAACTTCAGACAAGAATTCATTTAATTTAGACCAATCCAAAGAAGAGTTTACTGGAATAGAAATCGTCAGGTCGTCAGCATCCTTGATAAAATTATTTTCAACAGGATAAGGCAAATCGTGCGAAAAAAAGGAAAACAGAAAAGGGGAAAGTACAGCACCTTGAGGCACACCAGCTTCAGTAAGCAATGAAGTGGAGCGCATTCCTTTATGAATAGTGTACTGTTTCCTTTCAGAAAAGTAAGAATGCAGCCATTTTGTAACCCATGGCTCAGTGTGAGCTATGGCAAGCTTATTTAACAAAAGTGGTCTAGGAACAGAGTCAAAGGCTGATTAGTAATCCAAAAAGGCACAGCGAACAAACTTAACACCTTTGTCGAGACTGGAAACAATATTATGATGCAAGGCAGTAGCTGCGTCTAAAGTACGCCTCCGGTGTTTGTAAGCAAACTGTTTTGGATCTCTGAAGGCCATCAATGAAGGCTCAATCACAAGCAGAAGTAATCTCTCCATTG